TACACACACACACACATATATACATATATATACACACATACACATACAGTTCCTAGCTCTGTCCACTGAGAGGACCTGGGAGCAGCAATACCCTAACACCCAATGTCCAAATCTTGGCTTCCAAATACTATTCTCCACTAAAAGAAATAGCTGATTCAAGATCTGTGAAAGAAAAGTACAAAATGAGCTTAACACATCTAGTTTTGTTGTTTAGAAAGCAAAGAAATGTCCAAGGAATAATAAGATAATGTCACAATGGCACAGAAACCAGCTTAAAGGGACTCTCAACTGGACCAAAATGAGGACAATTTGAGCATCAAAATAAATAACAATAGTAACTGATTATAAAATCGTCAATAAAATAGGAAGCTATGAGGCCATATTGATATGATACATTAAGAATCCGAGCAACAGGATATTCAAATAATTTTCAGGTTCCTCTCCACAAAATACTTATTAATTACAAAAGGGAAAAAATAACTTTATAATATAGAAAACCGGCAGTTACACTTTAATCAAGTGATGAAAGTGGTCACCAACAGCACTGTAAGTCAAAATTGTGCACCATGAGATCAGATTACTTCCTTTTCTGTCTGTTCCATCATATTCCTACCAAAGAAATATAATCTGTCTCTAATCATGAGGAAATATCAGACCAACTCAAATTCAGGGACATTCATTTGAGCTGTTTCCAATTTTCTTTTTTTTTCCATAAAAGACAATGTTTCATATGTGCTTACATAAATTGATAGGCACTCCTTTATATTTTTGAAGTAACTTCCCAGAAGTCAATAAACGCATCCTTTATGTGTGGACACATATTGCTAAACTGCCCTGAAGAAAGAATAAACAATTTACACTTCTTTGATTACTAGTAAAATTCAATGTATTTTCCCAATTTACTGAAAACAAAATAGGAAACATAAATGACTGTTCTGAACTTTTAAGTATTTTTATTAGAATCTTCTTTATTTGTAATTATTTGTTACATATAACTAGCGAAATTTAGCTTTTATCATTCATTACAAAGTCTTGCCAATTCTGTGATGACTTTTTACCATACAGAATTCTATAATCTTCCCTTCAAATCACCTGTACTAACATGATACAGAAAATAGGAATATCATCAAATTTTTAACAGGATTTTGAGGACATTTTAATTCAAAAATGTAAAGCACCCAAGATAAAGAAGATTCTCCAATGTTACTTTCCCATATTTCTGCAAGGCACTAGAAAAAAGGTCTAGAGCTCTTCTGAGTGATTCTACTATATACTCATGATTCATTCTATCCATTTTTAGGATATATATTACTTACCTATTAAATTCCCACCCATAATAAATACAAAAGTTTCTCCACTCATCTCAGCCTGACACCTATTCTCTTCCTGCTTTCAAAAAGAAATGCCAGGTCATCCAAGACCAGAGCCTTTCTCTTCCACTTCTAAAGGCAATCCTGCTAACCCCTCAAGCTATCTCAACCATCAAACTCTTACATAATTTCCATTTCCAATTTTTTTTTCTGGAAAAGGTGTTCTACACTGGCAGAAAACACGTCCTCACTGGCCACCCACAACCAACCATTTTCAAATCGAATTCTTGCTCTATCAATATTAATATTATACTAGTTTCCTTGATAACAACTACCCTTAAGGGGCTTAGGATTGAAATATTTGGGGAAGCAGTAAGGGCTGTGCCACTTATCAGCTGTGTGATGGGTAAAGTTACTTAAGCTCTCTGTGCCTTATTTTCCACATCTATAAAATTAATACCCATACCTATACTTGACAGAATTATTTTGAGGATGAACAGAGACTGGACCATAGTAAATGGACAATGAATGACAGCCTCCTTCCTTACCCTTTTATGACCATGACTGCGTTCAAAATATTTAACATTTTCATGTTTCCCTTTAGAATGTAGTTCAGGCTGAAAACAGAAATTCTTCAACAATTATTCAAGTGGCATTAACTATAGGTAACTAAAATGAGAAAAAACGTTTAAAGTACCTTT